TTGGAAACATCGCCATAAAGGTTGGATGATTCACGATGACAATCTCACCAGGGCTGGGCTACAAATGTTTGCACTTAACGGAAAGGCAATTCCAGGAGCAAGAAGATGACGAAGGTGGAGCCTAGTGACTGAAGGGGGGAATCGTTCTCTGCGAAGGATTGTAATAGCTTGGATTTATCCGTTTCCCCAAAGTCAGGATATTGGTTCGGGTCCTTTTGATTTATTCCTTTTTTATTGTGTTTTAACCTTCGAGGCTTCGGTCAAGTCCTCCTCGAACGTGTACGGATCTCGTTTTTAAATAAAATCGGTAAGGAAGCCTGAAATATATATATATATATATATATATATATATATATATATATATATATATATATATATATATATAAAATAGATTTTATTAAAGAAAATAAAAGAAATAGTTACAAAGGTGGGGGTGGCCAAAAGAAACCCCTACATTATGGCCAAAATTAAAAAAAAAGGAGAAAATGAGAAAAAAGCCAGCAACTACTGCCAAAGGCAGATGTATTATATACTACTATGAAGCAACAAGAATAAAAGTCCAAAAGATGAAAAAAATAGTAGTAATCTGTTGGTTCTGCAAAGTATTGATGTTGATACCACCAAAGTCCCCTTATCTAACAAACTGCGATGGGTGTGAAGACAAGAGAGAAAATCAAACTTCCAACTCATAGTATACTGCATGTCAGTTCTGTAGAGGCATTGATCTCCAAGAGAACCTGTAATGAAATTTGAGACAAAACTTCGACGTAAAGGCCGTCGTTCGTCGGAGGAAGCCCTGAGGAGATAGCGGTCTGCCGTATGGCTCGTCAGGAACCGACAAGAGAGATTCGCCGATTCCTTGGAGCAAGATGGTTGACGATTCCGTCAGCTCTTCTGGTAGCTGCTTTGCGATATGACTATTACTGGGAGCTAAACGAGTAGTTAGCACGGGCTAATCTGTACTAGGGCACGTTGCATCTGTGATGGTTGAACCAGTTCAATAAGAATACTACGATCTGATCAAGAGTCCTTCTGAATCGTAAGAATGAGGCAATAGTCTGTTCGTTGCTACTAGAATGAGCAATGTGGTATCTTCTCCACTTCATCCGAAAGTGTCTCAACCTCAAAACCTCATAGCCAACGTATGTAGTTGCTAAAAGTCCAGTAACAGCAGCCCCAAGTTCATTGACCCGTCTTTATTAAAGGAAACTACTACATCAGGCTAAACAAATACGGAGTATAAAGCAAGCAGTCCAACTGAAACACTCAAATGTTGAAACTAATATATATATATATATATATATATATATATATATATATATATATATATATATATATATATATATATATATATATATATATATATATATATATATATATATTGGCCTGAAAAATCACCCGATGGTGTGGCAGGGCTCAGGGAAGCTCTGCCTTATTTATAAATAAAAGAAAGACGATACAAAGGGAGGGGGCGGGCTCAACCCCAACACAAGCCCGACTAAAACCAAAAGATAACTGCAATCGTCCTCAAATCTAAAACCAAACAGGACCTACATCAAATCAACATAAGAAGTTCGCCAACAAAAAAACCAAATAAAAAGAAAACAAGGAATAACAAGATCAGATCTTCTTTTTTCCGCTATTGTTTTTGTTAAACTTCTTCTTTTTCTTCTTTCCTTTCACACCTCCTTTGCGATTGAAATCATCCAACAAATGAATAGCATCAAGCTCCATTTCAGCCTCTAGAGTGTAAGAGTCTTCATCATCAACATGCAACTCAATTTTGTCATGTGCCATTTCAGAAACCTCAACTCCCCTGTCCTTTTGCCTCTTATGATCTTCTCCATTCATCCCAAAAGGCATATCAATGAGGCTGATTTGCGGGGAGCGTTCATATCGATTATTCCTCACAAATGTTGGTCTACCTTGTATTCTTCCTTCTCCGGCGACCTTGAAATTGGATGTGAAACCCCAGCGACGGTGGTGAGATCTAGACCAGGCGGCGGAGCTTTCTCTCTCTATGTCTAAACCCATCTATATATATATATATATATATATATATATATATATATATATATATATATATATATATATATATATATATATATAT